AAAGTGCAAAAACAAATAAATATATATATATATATATATATATATATATAGAATAATTACATGGAAATTTAGAAGAAAAAAATCATAAGACAGAACTCATATGAAAATAGTCCACAATAAATAATATAAACTTACAAATCCCGTCCTCATTGTAAGTTGGTGATTTGCAAAAACTAAGCATCTAATATGTAATTTTAATGAGCATTGTGTTAATAATTATCCATAAATACCAAAGGGTTATGAGTAAATGTTTCTTGAATCCATTATATAAAACAAAAACTATATGTACTAGGATATGATTGGAACATAAATAGCTAAAATGGAGTTCTTCTAAAGTCACAAGCAATAAGGGCAATTCATGGTGACGCAAAAGTTAACTTTATAAACCTACAAATAGCAGGGTTATAAAAATTGTATATAGCTAAAACTAGTAGCAAAATGAGAATAATAAGATAGATGCGTGCAGAGTTTTTAAAATCCAGCTCCAAAGTGCGCTTAGACGGTAAGATACCTTAGACACCCAACAAGTCAATGATTTTTTTTAAACATGGGCTTTTAAAAAGATTGTTAAAAATATAGGGTTTAGGAAAATAAATATATCTTCCTTAGCTCCTGAATATCAACTTTAGCTTGCGATCAGTATAGGCTCATTCAACACCTGCTCGCACTATACTTCTTTCTCACTATATACCGACTTAATCTCCCCTTTCTCACTTTCGATCAAAATAACATAGAAACTCGCCAATCATAGCTCTCAGGCGTCGCTCCTAATTGTTCAATTTCATCATCTAGATACCTGCAACTCGGTGGATTCGTCGACCTCCTGTTCGTCTAATTAAACACAATGTGTGCATAAGATGACATATAGGTGCTCATTCATTCTCCTTACAACTTCTTTACTCTCTTTCACTCTCGTCTCCCCTTAAAAGCACGAAAAAACTCTCTTACATTGAAAGTGTAACGCTAATGTTACGAGTAAATAAAAATCGAGCATTACAATCTCCCCTAGTTACAAAATTGTCCTCAAAATTTATAAACCTCCCATAAACCACCCTAAACCAACATGATAAAGTTGTCTTGCATCTATCTTCGTGTAGATAGAAACACAAACCACTCTAAAAATTTTCACAAATCCTCCCAAGTTACCACTTATTTCAGTATGTCCCTAGTTTGTCCTGACAATGTCCATGCCGCCACCTTTTTGCTTCTCAGCCCAAAACAATCGTAACCAATGATACTATCCTTTCATCCGAACACGTCATGTTGTCTAATATCTTTTGTATCTGCATAACCTAATTCTCTGCTTCAACTGAGCCTTCAGTTCCATTGAATAATAGGTCGTAGATATTAAAACATATTCAAATAATTATCCACAGTGATGGTATCACTTCCACTGGACAACAATCTGGAACTTGAATCAGTTGCATCATTCGTTGCCATCATCTTCGTCAGAGTATTAATATTTATACTGATAAAAGGTGGTAACTCTTCATTTCCTACCACATTTTCTTCTTCGTCAATCACGGATGCTTTATTTGCCTAAACTAAAATATTACCTAATAATAGTTAACTTGAACTTTCATTTTTCTTATTATTAATTTTCACAATTATCTCATTGGCTCTTTCATCAATATTGCATTACTTAATCCTAAACATTGTTCTCTGATATAACTTTAGTTAAAACCCGACCCCCGAGCTTGGAATTTCCAAAGGTGAGAACGAACGGTCGAACGATAAAATTAAAGAACTGTAAAATTACTTTTTTTTTATTTCACCATTCAACCATCCATTCTCACCTTGGAAATTCTAAGCTCCTATGTCTGTTCCTGATAGATTTGACATGTGAAGGAGACAACGACAACCAAATTTGAGATGAGCGCTTTGACCGTGAGGGCTTCACAGTGAGGACTACGACAACAAGAACTTTGATTTGTATTTCAGCAGCGGAGACAACGACATGAAGGAGATTCAATTCAACATGTGAAAAAGATGTCGAAAATGCAAGTCACTCGATTTGACACTTGAAGAAGACACTGTAGAGGGAGTGCTTGAACGCATTCAAACTTGTGTGTCTCAACCCATGTATTTGTCCACCAACCCGTATGTTCCCTTCAATCGAGTTATTTAACTTATTAACTACTCATTCAACCCAGTCTACATCAGCATATCTATGTTTTGAAGCTTTTTATAATCAAGTTTTAAGTCATCTAAATAATATTTCACATTCTATAATTTTTAATGAATGTACCATTATTTTTTTTTTTGAGTTTATACAAGTTATAAGTATTTTAGTTAATAAAAATGTTGCGCTTAGAATTTTGAAGCAAAAATAAGTCCTTGTACATTGCATTGCACTATGAATAAATGTAATGAATTATTATATTAAATGAATAGTGCAAAAATAAGAACTTATGCATCACATTGCGCTTTGCACAAAACAATGATTTGTGGTAAAACTATGAATCATAAATTTATCGAATGATTATATTAGATGAATAGTCGAAGACATCTACTAAAGATGTAGTTGTTGGAAAGATATTTGATTAAGTTGTACATGTACAATGAATGATAAAAACAAAATACCTATTAAGTGTTAAAGGCTCAAAAAGAAAAAAAAAATTATAGACATAAAGTAACATGATTTGAAGATGTTCCAAACTACTTGCAAATAATAGACTTGACATCCCAAATAATACCCAGCAGGAACAAAATAAAAATGAGGATTCATTAATCCACATCCCAAAATTATTAGTGTAAGACAAATGATTATTTTAATTTTATCAATGATCAATCTCCTTGTCTCAATGATGTTTGCTGGAAAAGAAAAAAGACTGGGTCAACTTCATACTTCATAACTTACAGCTAAAATTCTAATGGGAATAGAGAGAGCAGGAACTAAAAGAGGCAACCATGAAGCTGGTGGTATCTCCAGGACCTTTGAAGGCCATGCAAAGGCAGTAATGTATTGCATTAACAATACCCACATGCTGCAGAAGCAAGCTAAGCATTTCAAAGTGCGGTTGGATACATCAAGGGTTGAGTCTTCATGGAACAAAAAACTAGCCAAGTCCATGCTGAGGCTGGCTAAAGATCACAGGTAACTCGTAGAATCCCATAAATCTATTTTCATTAATTAGATGAAGTCTAGGATTTCCATTAAATGGGTCAAGCATCCGAAAGCTCCTCTTCTGGCAATGGTGGTGACAAAGATACGCGGTGAAAATGATAAGGAATAAAGCCAAAGATTGAGATCTTTCGAGGAACAATTAATTTTAATCTTTTTTTCTTTGATGTTTTTCTCTCAATATTGTTTTAACAAAGTAACGTGATCCTTGTATTGATTTATTCTTGAAAAAACTGTCACGAGTTATTTAAGTCTTCATATTTTTATTCCTTTAAAGATTTTTATTGCCCAATTTTAATGCCCCCGGCCCCAGCGGGCCCCGGCCGGCCACGGCACACACACACATACAAAAAAATATGTTGGAATACATGCTTAGGACAGTTTATTGAGTCTAGGTTTAATTGAGTCAAGTTTGTCCCTTAATCTTAGGAGTTGGTATTTTTCTTGATTTTGTTTCTTGTTATTTTCTTGGCTGATTTTTAGGTCTTTTTCTTAAAAGTTTGTTATTAGCTCTAAGTTTAAATATTGTAAGGCTACACAAAAGGTGTGTGGCTCTAATTTTTCTTTAAATCTACAACAATTCTCTTAAGTTATCTTCTTTCTCATTTCAAGAAACCAACAATTTGGTATCAGAGCTCTCTTCTTAAGGGACCTGTGCGTGAATTTGAGCGACAATGGAGATCAAAGCTAGTTTTTACTCGGTTGTTCCACCGGTGTTTGACAGAGACAACCACCGGATTTGGGCAGTCCGCATGGAGACATACCTGGAAGCTTTGGATCTCTAGGAAGCAGTGGAAGAAGACTATGACATTCCTCTTCTCCCTGAAAAATCCCACCGTTGTACAAAGTAAAGCACAAAAGGAGAAGAAGACAAAGAAGTCCTAGGCAAAAGCTTGCCAGTTTGCTACAGTTTCCTCCACGATCTTCACTCATATCATGTCGTTGAAAACTACAAAGGGGATTTGGGATTATCTCAAATCTGAGTATGAAGGAGATGAAAGAATTTGAGGGATGTAGGTGCTAAACTTGCTTCGTGACTTTGAATTGCAAAAGAAGAAGAAGACAAAAATCATAAATGAGTACTCTGACAGACTACTCAACATAGCAAATCGTGTCAAACTATTGGGTTCTTCTCTGGAAGATTCAAGGATTGTTGAAAAAATCCTTGTAACAGTGCCTGAAAGATTTGAAGCTACCATCACCGCCTTAGAAAACACGAAGGATCTGTCAAAGATTTCTTTGACAAAACTCTTTAAGTGTTTTACAAGCACAAGAGCAGAGGGGTGTAATGAGGAAAGAAGGAGCCGTTGAAGGAGCTCTACCAATCAAGCATCAAGATGATGAAAAGAATAGGTAGCCCAAGAACAAGAAGTTTCAAGCTACAAGTGGACAAAGCTCTACACCCGAGAACAGAAGCAAAATTGAAAATAAAAAATTAGGAGTAAAAAAAGATTACCCTCTATGTCAACATTGTGGCAAGAAAGGACATCCTTCTTTCAAA